CCCCCCCCCCCAAAAAAAAAAAAAAAAAAAAAAAAAAAAACACACACACACATATTCGACATCTAGGAACACCTAAAAGTGTGCCTTGCACGACCATATATGAAAAATCACATCATTTCAAAGCTTAAACTATTTGGTAATGGATACTTTTATTTATTAAAATTTAGAATTCCACATGTACATACAACAATGCTACATGACACATTTCTGTATGAGTTAACATTTTGATTTTCGGGTTGAAGCAGAAGTTTTCACCAAGTTCAAAGACCAACAAGGAAATTTCGATGAATCTTTGATTAGCAATGCACAAGGCTTGTTAAGCTTGTATGAGGCTGCACAATTTCGAGTACATGGGGAGGAGATTCTAGAGGAAGCATTAAATTTTTCCACAACTCATCTCAATTCCGTGCTTCATCTACACAATCATTTGTCTATACAAGTTAGTGATGCCTTTGAGATGCCAATTCATAAAACTTTGACAAGGCTGGGGGCGAAGAAGTTCGCGTTAATTTATCAAGAAGATGAATCACATAATCCAATGTTGTTGAAGTTCGCGAAACTGGACTTCAACTTACTGCAGAAGATGCATCAGAAGGAGTTATGTGACATTACAAGGTTAGCTTGTTTATGAAGATATTAGTTTATTTGTGCCCTATTTGGTGTAGCTAAAATTATTTTTGTAGTAGATTTTTATATAATTTTTAAGCTACAGCAACAAATGTTTGACTAAAGATATATTTTCGTTAGCTTAATATCGAATACGTATATAACGAGTAAAATTGTTGAAATTTTACTTATATTTTAGGTGGTGGAAGACTTTAGAGTTGGAAAATAAATTCCCTTTTGCAAGAGATAGGTTGGCGGAATGCTATTTTTGGATACTAGGGGTCTACTTTGAGCCCCGTTATTGTCTTGCTAGAAGAATACTAACTAAAGTAATTGCACTCTGTTCTATCATTGATGATATCTATGATGTTTATGGAACCATAGATGAAGTTACCCTTTTCACAGATGCAATTGAAAGGTGATTAAAGAAATTTGTTCTCCCAATTTCAGTCATTCCTTTATTTTAATGTCTAGTATACCGTATTTATACTGAATATTTTCAAGGATAGGTGGGATTTAGATGCTACAGACCAGCTACCATCTTACATGAAACATTGTTACAAAGCACTTCTGGATTTTTACGTCGAAATTGTAGAAGAGTTGGAAAAGACAGGAAAATCTTCCTGTGCTCACTACGTGAAAGAAGAGGTTATTATTGCCAATAAACATATCAAATTTGCTGTCAAATATTTGTCTAATAAATGTTCTAATCTGCAGATAAAAAAGGTGGTTAGGGCATACTTCCAAGAGACAAAATGGGCGTATGACTGCTACATTCCGACAATAGAAGAGTATATGAAAGTCGCCCTTGTATCTTGCGCTTACATGATGCTATCGACAGCTTCTTTGGTGGGTATGGGAGATCTTGCAACTAAGGAAGCCTTTGATTGGATTTCTAGCGAACCATTAATCGTACGTGCAGCAGCAACAATTTGTAGACTAATGGATGACATGGTCGGACAAGGGGTAAGTAGTTTGAAGTACTAAATAACTTATTTCTTATTACACGTTAGTGTTATTAAGTAGAGATAATTGAGAACAATCTAATAGCCTGCTTATAATTTATCAAGTTCGAATTCTTAGAGACTGACTTTATGACAAATCTGATCGCACATTTCTTTCTTCTTGTTGTAGTTTGAGCAGAAAACATCAGTTGTTGAATGTTACATCAATGAAAAAGGGGTTTCAAAAGAAGAGGCATTTGCTGTATTTCAGAAACAAATTACAAATGCATGGAAGGATATAAATCAAGAATTTCTTCAAATAACTGCAATACCAATGGTCATCCTCATGCGAGTAGTCAATCTTGCAAGCATCATGAATCTTCTGTACAAAGATATTGATGCATATACTCATGTCGAAAAGCCTCTTTTAAAAGATTTCATAAATTTGGTGCTAGTTCAACCTATGACAATGCCATGATGACTGATAAACATGATAGTAAAGTTGTTGGTTGTATGTTTTTGTAATAAATTATCATCTTATCTGATTATCAGATCTGATGGTGTTGGTTGTGTTCATTTTAATATATCGAATTATTATGATGCATCGTGTGGACGAATTCTTGAACTTTATTTGTTTTACCATGTTATGTTGTTCTAGATTAACTCACTCAACACTTACGACACTGATCGCTTTTTTTTGTAATTTAAATTCATATGAATTGTTGTCTATCATATTATCCAGTTTTATTTATGACCAATCAAAGATATTTGCTAGTACTTTTGGCAATAAAAATCAAATTTAAAAGAAATAAAGGAGTTCAACTGGAGAATAAAATAACCAATTAAAAATTAATATTTGTAATCAATGGGAAAAAAAAAAAAAATCAAATGTGCGAAGTTTTAAATTCATTTCTTGCTAAAAAATTTCCCCCTGTTCAGTGCTAATTGTGTAAATTTCTCTAGAATAGTAATTTTTGCCTGACTGTAGCCAGCTGAACTTCTTTTTCCATCAATCAAACTCCACCATCAACGCTCTAAATCAGCATGCATTTCGCGCTTCTATATTCCCTTAATTTATTTCCATGTATCGAACCGAAAATTTCACCCGTTCTTTTCTACGTAAGGTTTCTTCCTATTCCAGATTTTTGTATTCATTTGGGGGCTGATTCCATTTGATGCTGCCTTTCTCAAAACAAAATCTTTGATTTAGAGTGTCTAATAGCTCTTTCTAAAGCCAAAAACTATTATTAATCCGTAGTCTAAATCGGTCTGCCTAAAATAACCAGTCATTCAGAACAATGATAGACTCGTTCTTTGTAGTTATTTCTCTTTACTATGTCAGCTACACAGGTGACGGTGATACTGAGTTTTTCCTAGGGTGTTCATTGTTCACTTTCCGTATCAAATGTCCCTATTCTTTGCTGTCAAGAGGATTAGATCTCGTTGCTGTTTGGGCTGTCGAGAGACGCCCTGTACAATTTACAAATCTTAGACCATATTCTCATCTGGATTTCAGAAACTGCCTGCTGTGAAAGCCCCTCCATTAATCCCCGTGTCTTTTCAAAGTTCAAAGGCCCACTTGTTATGCTATATTTACATCCACTTTCGTATTTGCTACAGCATGTCACCATCATGCCCATTCATCGTGTAATGTTGGTGTACTTAATACACAATACTTGATGCATGTGCATGATCCAATTTGTCTGCATTCGATATGTTCATAATAAAAAATATGGATTTACAGATCATATAGCAATACACATAAATGTTTACTACTTTCCATGTTTATAATATGTATCATGCGGTGCAAACTATCATAGTCCTTTTGTGTAAATTAGAAAATGTATCTTACCATGCAGTGTTCACTAGGCACATAAGCACGTGATTTTGTGATACGGAAATTCATGCCTATGTAATTATTATACAAGTAAGAGCTAAATTACTTGTATCATAGATGGGATTCTCACAAGCACAAAAACAGATTCATACTTGTTTGTGTTTCTATTTGGCACAATCCCACCACATACACGCTATCTCACCTCGTACCCACACTACACTACGTCATGTTACAGTGAAGATAAATGGCCTTCTTTCGTCTCCCCAGTCAAAAAACAAATATATTGGCAAAAATTGCGAATATCAGCTTTTCCTAACTTACTTTAGCATCCCCCGAGAGAAAATGCACATCAGCTGTAGACACAATATCACATATAGTAAATTTAAGATGGCTAACGACATTCCCAGAATGAATAAGGGTAAGTTCTATGCTCATTTTTTATACCTAATGATTATTAAGACACTAGGTGCTAATCCATTACTTGAGTACTGCTATAGATTGAACATTGCTTCTAAAATATTTTTTAATTTCATGTGCTGACTGCAAAATATTGCTAAATTGAATTGTGACATTATCCATATTCCTAATGCAGTCAAGAGTGTTGTGTGTTCATGCAAAAGTTTGCAGAGTTCGCCATCAATGAGAAGATACACAAAATTTGAGAACCGTTTGTTCCCAATATTGCTAGGACCCACTTAGCTTGTCAACTGTATAAGTATTTATGAAAACCAAATGATCTCTGGTGGCTATGAAACGGATGCGTGAGAATAGCGAGGAAGGGCAGGAATTTGGAACAAGTCTACATGTCAAAAAAAGGAAAGAACTCCAGTGGCTGCTGAAACATATTTCATGATTTTGAGATGTTTTTTTTTTTTTTTTTGTGTTCACGTGGATTCGAAAAAAGCATATGAAGATCATTCGTTGATAACGTTGCAGAGTATCATACTGACCTATTGGATAAATCAGGAATACAAAAGCAAAATAGCAATTGGACTAGAGAATACGATTGCATTATAAGGTTGCAATCTATTTAAATGTTATATACCACTAGGGACGGATCCAAGATTGGGCTATACAATTTCAAATAGGGCTATTACGTGGAAAAAAAATTTATACATAAAAAAACTGGTTTTTCACCTAAAAAAAATAAAAAATACCTTTAAAAAAAAGTGTTGAGCCTGATGGGAGGAGGACTACAGCGCTGCCCCTCCCCCCAAAGTCCATCCCTATTTACTATGACACGCTTTGTCGAATATCAAGAGACATCTGTTGTTTGAACATTTCCACAACATATAAATTTAATAGGTGTCAGCGTTCTGCAGGAGAATCAGATTTATGTTCATAGCTGAAAATCAATTATCATATCAGTTCTGATGGATACATTGCATAAATATTTTTCTTGAGCGACAATATAGGTTATACGATTATCATGCACCAAACAAGAAAGTGGGTCATTTTTATCGCGGAATCTCACTCCAAGGATTTTCAAATCGATGTTTTCCGGGCTCAATCCAAAGTTACATTTCTCTACCAAACAATTAAACCAATCGGCTCTGATCCACAATCAATTTATTCACTTAGGTTAATTTTCAATCTCTCTCACACAGGATAAGATAACGGTGATGATTTGTAGCCAGAAAAGCAAGAAGAAAACACTACAAAGGTAGTCTATGAAGAGACCACAAAGTATACAAAGTAATCAACCAATTTTTGGACACAAAGGGGCCAATTTCTTCTCTTCAAAGGGGGCAGCCGAATTTCCTCTTAAGTTTTCTCACAAATCACCCAAGAAAGTGGCTAGAGTTATAACCTTATAAATAGGATAGGGTTAGCCTTTAAGTTGAACCAATAGAAAGTTAAACGGGCTAAAATTTAAACCATCTAAGAGGGAATACAATTGGACCGGGCAGAGCCTATGGACTTGGTTGTTAGAATTATTTCATTCATTGGCTGTGGCCTATGAAATACATTATCCAACGTTAACATCATAGCCCAAGATTTATTGGATATCAAAAATCTAACAAATCTCCATCTTGATGCCCAATAAACCTGCAAGCAATCAAAACACACAGTTAGTACTTGCATAATCAAGGTAACTAATAAAATTTGGTCACAGACCTTACCTCGTATTTTCAACCTGAAACACATAACATACCTGCTCCATATACTCACCAGGGCTATGGTCAAGAATACCAAAGTAGAAGCAAATATTCACAGTAATCAATCAAGAGCAAATAATCATACGATGACGATATAACATAGGATAACACACATAGATCTTTTCAGAAATATGTTCACACAGAACCAAAGGTTAACACCAAGTCAGTTAACAGGCGCCAACACATATGCAACAGATGCATAATAACCCCACGAAAAGATCTCATCACATTTATCCTATCCCATTATATGTTGCTCACACCTTGAGAACGCATATCTCTTCTCATCTTTCACTTTGCTCACTCGACTGGTCACTCATCCTATGTCTGTCTAGTGAATCATAATAGATTCTAAGTCCACAGGATAATCCTCTATCACCACATCACTTCTCCCAACCTACGTGGATAATGAGTCTCCACTTAACGAAAGTGATAGAAGTGTCTCTCTCACACTCCATCTGATTAGGATCTCTTCACAGATGAAGGATTCTAGACATTTAATTACCTCACCACGCATGATCCAAATGTTACACAACACATCCCCAGTACAAACCACAATGTCTTCCTTAGCATCTAAACTCTACCTTACAAAAGACATACAACACATTGCTAATACATATTAACCCACTATACATGCAAACAATTACACCAAGTATTCATATTGCCTCAAATTCATGCAAATGCACATATCAAACACATTGAAATACAACATATAATCATGCAACAAGAATTAGGCAATCATACATATGCAGAAAGGATTACATGTAGATGCACGTGCAGTAACTTTGTTTACTCTCAATAAATCTCAAACTAGGGTCATTACTCGACCCTATAACCACATTTGCCTCAAAACTCATCTTACCATTTTGCTTATCATTCTTCTTGAGACAGTCACTAATAAAGTGTCCAGGCTTACCACAGCTATAACACTGTCTACCACTAGACTTGTCTCGTCCCTTGCCATTTTTCTTACCACCCTCATCACTCGAGTTACTATTTGAATCACTATTGTTTTGAGCTCTACCTAAATTCATTTGCTTAAACTTCATCCTACTCCTCATCATATGTAACTCACCACTCATCTTATCTTCTTTTTCAATTTTAATCTCCATCTCCTTACTCTTAAGGTAGTCTATGACAATTTTGAGTATTAAGGTGTCCCTACCATATTTAATCGCATTCTTAACCTCTCTATATGAATCAGGCATAGAATTAAGCAAAACAATGGTCTTGTACATTTTAGACACTTTTTTTTTTTTTTTTTTTTATCACAATTAACAATATCTTGAACTAATTTGTTAAAGATATCCACATTATCATCAAGATCCTTTGGAGGATTTATTTTAAAACTAAAAAAACTTTTAAGCAAGTACAATTTGTTAGGAGTAGATTTAAGCAAATATATGTTCTCCAACTTTTGCTAAAGTTCTTTTATAGAGTCAAATTTTCCAACATTTGTCAAAAGAGTGTCATATAGGTGTAAAATAATAGAAGTGTAAGCAAGTTTATCATACTCTTCATTTTGTGCTTCTGTTAAGTTT